GCTGGAAGGCCCGTGGAGGCCATTTCCATCGGTCTCCTCATTTCCCAGATGAGGTATTTGAGGCCCCAAAGCCCCCCTGTCCCTTAGCTGCCTCGGAGAGTCAGCCTCTGGGGCCCAAACCAAAGTGGCCTGGTTCCACGGGGAAGGAGAGGGGGGTGGCGGGATGGCACAGGGAGGCAATGAAGACCCCAGGGAGGGGAGGGAGGAGCAGGGAGCAGTGAGGCCCCCCTTACTCCAACAATGGCCCGGAATCTACACTTTCACGACGTCCTTACTTTTGCGGGGACACGCTTCTGCTAGGAACAATCAGCAGAGACCCCAATGTATCCACCATCATCAGTGGACATGGGGACGTGGGCTTTGCTGAGAACCTAACGAGAAAGTCAAGCCCTGCCCTGCTCCCAGGTCCTCCCACCTGCCAGGGCCCCCGCAACTAAGGCCCGAGGCTTATGCTGGTAGATGAAGGTCATTCATTGACTCCCTCTTACTGAGCCAGCCGCTCTTCTGGCAGTTTGTCTGATTACTTTACTTAATCCTTTTACCTACCCTGGAAGATAAGTATCAGCCCATTTTATCCAGGAGAAATTCAGGCTCAGAAAGGTGTAATGACTTTTCTGAGGTCATCCAGGCCCAAGCTCTTTGCACTGGGCCACACTGTCCCCCATTGCTTGAGTGTCTGCAAGGGAGGGGCAGGCTATTGGACCCTGGAGCAGAGCACCCTGTCCTGTCTCTGGAAATGGTGGAAGGAAATTACCCTTGCAGGAGCGGGACTGTTTGCAAGCCCATTTTGCATACATTATCTCATTTAATCCTCACACCCTTGCTGGGAGTGGTCACTTTACAAAAAAGGAAACTGAGACTCAAAGTCACCCAGCTGGGTCCCAGAATGACAATACTACAAAATTCAGGTGCAGAAAAATCGTGGGTCCATCTCTTGGGCCAGCTGTCATTCAGCGGTGCTGGTTGCCTGGAGATTCTGAAACTGTATCTGGCTGGATTCAGTAAGTGGCTGTGCTGTGATCGGTTGCTCATGTTTGTCACTGCCACAGAATGTGGAAGTGATGGTATGTGTGTCCCAGGTTTTCCATTCCTAACAGCTCAGTCCAGTCCCTGAGTTTTATTAAGGAAGAGACTGAGGCCCAAAGAGAGAAGATGACTTGCCTCAGGTGGCCTCACACAGACACATGGTGGCGCAGCTGAATTTAGAACCCAGGTTGCCCATCACACCATGCCATCATACTGAAGGAACTGCACCCGGACGCGAGGAGCAACACCCAGACGCAAGCCCACACTCAGGGAACGTCTGCTGACAGCCTGCAGTGTGCCAGGTCCTGTGCCAGGCTCATCCCCATTTTGCTACCTTATTTGGTGCTCAGAAAATTGAGGGGCAGATTTCCAGGGACTTGCCCAGGGTCCTGCAGCTGGTAGATGGTGCAGCTAGAGCTGGATATGGGACCCTTGGCTCCCGACCTGGCCTTCTTTTCCTCTCACGCCCCATTCCTGCAGTTCTCTGTGAGCAGGACCTGCTTTGATTTCACCAAGCCCATCTGAGAGTTACTGTGTTGTGCAGGCTCAGAACAGCAGGAGTGGGGAAGGGGGTGTATGCAGCCCCCCTCCTCCCAGGACTCTTCCTGGCAAATGTAGGGAAGGTGAGGGCGGGGGACAGGAGGTGAGCAATGGGGCTTGGAGGTTCACCAGGTGGATGTGAGCTGTCTTGGCTGGGCACATCCACCTTCTGGCGACATCTTTCTTAAGATGTCCCTGACCAAAGGGAGGCCCTGACACAGAAGACAGGTAAAAAAGAGGTGGGGAGAGGAGGATTAGGGGGATCCTTCCAGCTGCGCCTGCTCTGTGAGAATCTGGGTCCTTAGATCTCAGGGAATACCCTTGAGAGTGCCTGAGACGGCTGCTGGGTAGTTAGGGACACTGAGAATCCCTCTTTGGAGCATTGCAGTGGGAGGCACTCTGGACTGCCTGTTCAGAAGGTCCCTGTGAAGGAGTTAATCAGGTCCCTTCCCCCCTCCCTGTCCTCTGCACAATCTCCATTTTGTGTGTGAGGGTGTATGGGGGTGCTGACAGGGAGTGTGAGACCTCGCCCAGCTACCACCTGCAAATGGGGTTGCCGCTGGCTGGGCAGGGGGCACCTGCACAGCTAGGGTCACTACTGGGCAAACTCATCTCCTGGTGCTGGCCAGGCGCTCTGCTCAGGGGCCTGGTTGCTATGAGCAGCACGG